CATTATGGGTTCAGCTGGGTTCCCTTTAAAGCCATAATAAAGTTAAATAAAAGATTTTTCAATGTTTGCTGTTTGAAAATTCATGATAAAAAAAAAAAAAAACGATCTCTGAATACTCATCTAAATCCACACTATAGTTTGTAATAAATCAGCTGCTTCGTATTTCGTTGCCAACAATTCTGAGTTGTTTGTTCACACGTGAACTTGATGAGGACACTTTGGTCAGTCTCGGTGCACAGTGGATATTAAGTGGAGAAAATAATCCCTGGATGTAAACAGAATCAGAGAGGAATACAGAGACGCCAGGTTGAAAGCTAGAAATGTGAAGAAGTTCTCTCTTCTACTGATCTGGCAACCCTGAGCTGGGAAAACACTTTTATTTAATTATTGAAAATCATCATCATGTTTGATTCCTTTGCATCATGTTGGGAGTTCACTAACAAAAWTTCTGTTTGTCCACTTTTTTTATATACAGAAGCAGAGAGACTTAACTCCCACTGAGGATATTTGCACGTGGTCTGACTTTTTTGCAGTGTTTTTCTTTTTTTATTGTTGTTTGCCTTTTTTTTTGTAATTGAATTTAACTGTGTGGCTTTTTTTGCATGTCTTGTTTACTTTTATAACACTTGACTTGAATCTTTGGTTGTGATTTTATTTTTGCTGTGTAACAAAAACTTTTGCATGTTGTGTGAAACTATTGTCTAAGCAAGAAGAGCTGGTGTTTTCTCAGGTGCTGAAGTCAACGACGAACACTGTAACAAACACTGTAACAAACACTGTAACAAACACTGTGACAAACACTGTAACAAACACTGTAACAAACACTGTAACAAACACTGTAACAAACACTGTGCCTAACATTAGTCCAGATGGAAATAGTGATAGGATTGACGTTACTGTGTGTGTACTCCGTGTGTGTACTGTGTGTACAGATATTTGCAAACACAAACCCAATTAAAAGGTGAATGCACCACAGCTGTGCAGAATCTAACATTGTAGTTTTGTTTCTTTCTTCTTGCTTCAAAATGTGTCTTTGCTGGTAAAATATCTTACAAATCATTGAATGAATCAGATTATAATCATTACTAACAGTTCTTTTTATGTTTATTCAGCTTAAATCTGGTGTGGTAGAAGCTGAGTGTCCCCAACATATACTGTACTTTAAGGCCAAGGTGTTGCACAAACCCTGTACCTAAAACTTCAGTGTGATTTGCTGAGGTCAACCCTGTTTTGTCTGTTAGCAAAATATCTCATCCACCACTGGATGTAATTTAATAAAACAGAGAAAGTAATGGGTATACATCTACAGCTGATTCATTTCAGTCCAATTCAAGTTAAGATAACTGACCTTGGCTAACTYAAAAATGGCCACAACTCAGTGAAATTTACAGATATTGTGGTAATATATGGTGTGGTGGTAGGCAGCTGACAGTGATTGACCACACATTCTCCAATTGCTAACATTGAAAACCCCATAAAATATTGTTATATTGCATGGAATTGTCCTTAAAGTTATTTTTCCCAAGCTTTTTTTTCCCTCTAAATGACCTCATGTTTCCAGATCTATCATTTGTGGAGGTGGGGGGCTTTTTTTATGAGCTGCTCTGTTAATTAAAACTAGATTTACTGGACCGAATGTCCTTAAGAATCTGTACAAGTACAAATATCTAACCATAAAATTACTTTGATAAAAGTTAGTCTCCTCTAAGAATATTACCTGAGTAAAACCTTAAAGTATCCAATATTTTTTGTACTTAAGTATTAAAAGTAAAACTATTGAGTAAAAATGAGTGGTTAGATTTTCCAAAATATTTATTGAGAGGTGCCCCCCCCCCCCACACACACACATTTTTTCCCCATTTTTTAAGTTTATTTCATTTAAAAACAAAACAAATTGTACATACCAAAATACAAATCAAAAATAAAATAAAAGGAAGCAGAAAGAAGAAAAACAATCTTATCTGCCCCTTTTTAACAAAAGATAAACAAAAACGTTTTTTTCTAAAGGACTTAAAATATTAATATAAAAAATTTAGGATGCACTAACGTAGCTGTTTCAGGTACATACTGTATATATTTATATGTATATACCACATACGTCTTCAGCTACATAAGTCTATGTCCTGCTGGAGTGTGACATGATGTGTTGTACAGCTGTGATGGATTGTGTTCAAACTAATACTGTGTCAAAATTGTCTATCTATATTTATATGTCTTATTCAACCACAATTAGATTAACTCTATCCAGGAGGCACAGTTTATTTTTACAGTATATTTTTTATTAACAGGCCAAATGAAAACAAGCAAAAATGAACTAAAAGTGACAACTTTATACTTCTTTTAAAATGTGAGGAGTAGAAAGTACAGATACAGTAATTGTGTGAAAATATAAGAAGTAAAAAGTAGGCTGAAAATAATTACATTATTTGAAAGAAAAAAAATGGAAACAACAACAAAACCAAGCAAAGTTTAGTAACAGAATTCATGAGATCTCAGTGGGAGTTCTTTCAGCGGAAACCAGAGGTGACACATCGCTGCCGGTAACTTCTCTACGTGACAGAAACCGAGGACCTCTCAGCCAATCAGGGTACGTATTCGGCTGCYACGTGGCTGACGTCAGAGCGTGGCTAACGTACAATGTGTGGCAGGCCGTTTTAGCATAAAATCGGTTTCGTCGGACTATCTGTAATTACATTCTAGATATCAAAAAATGCGTTTTGACTAGAAATAAATAGGTATTTTGACTAGTCAAAATATAATTTGAGATTTCTTGAATAACAAATATGACTAGTCATGATTCAATTTCAGATTTCTGGAATGGAAGTGTTGTAATCTGATTTTATGCTAAAAGGGCTTCAGCAGCCGCATCGCTTGTCAGATGTCGAAATTAAACAGTCCCGAACGGAGAAAACCGCAGCGTCAAGACCTCTGAAGAGCAAAGACGACTTGTTTGTGGATATTAGACGMTTTTTCGACTCGGAGTAAGTATTGACTAACCTTAAATATGAAGTCAATTCTGTCTCTTTTTTTCCTTCCTGTTTTGAGGTAAAGTGCGTTGTGCGCGAGATGTCTAATCTGCTCTGTGGCGGGGAGTTTGATTTAAAAATAGTTTTTTACACACTTTCCCAGCAGGAAACACTAAAGAGACTAACTCTGTTGGATGTTGGGCTGTGTTAGTTACAGAACGCATTTGTCTATTTATGTGCAGGTGTCTGTTTTTGTGTATTTGTTTTTGTGTCTGTCATGAATGCTCTGTTTACAGGACAACATGGACCAGAAGGACGAGAAGCCGAACTGTCGCAGGTGAGAAGTCACGATAAACGTGTTCACCTGTTTTTTTTTTTCTATTAAACCTAATCTAACAGGAGTTTATGAACTCCTGGGTGTGACAGGATATCATGTCGACCTTTCTCCTTCAAAGAAAGGACGGACATACTGTACATCCAGCTTCTGATCGCTTCAATGTCACAGAGAAAAACCAGTAACTAAACCTGAATAACAGGAAGTTATAACACATTATCACTTCAAGTTACTGTGAAATTACACAATGTGCATTAATCCCATAAGTAAAGTAAATAAAGTGGTTTCCTTTTACACACGTTTTCATTTCAAAGCCTTAAACAGTAATTAAGCAATTTATGTTTTATAATTCAAAATTAAAGCGACACAATGTGAGTCACCCATCCAGATTTAAGGCCTCTTAAGTTTCTGTCAGATTTATTGTTTGAATTAATCAAGTGCAGAGATGTATCAAAATTAAATTCCACTTATTTGCAGTGTTGTATGAAGTACCTCAAAGCGATACTTGAGTAAAAGTACAAGTATCTTATCTTGAAATTACTTTGGTAAAAGTTAAAGTCTCCTCCAGGAATATTACTTGAGTAAAAGTCTTAAAGTATCTGATTTATTTTGTACCGAGGTATTAAAAGTACATTTCTGACATAAAATGCATTTAAGTATTAAAAGCAGAGTTGTAAAGTAACTAAGTACAAATACTTTGTTACTGTACTTAAGTAGAAATCTTGGTTTTCTGTACTTTACTTGAGTATTTTTCAGCGTACTTTTTACTTTTACTCATTACATTTTTACATAATTATCTGTACTTTCTACT